GACTGATTTTTATTTGTTTTTAATAGATTATAATATAATAATTTTGTTAACTAATATGTACTTAAACAGTTATTAATAGTTTGTTACAATGTACTTATTGTGTAAATATGTGTATTTACTGTGTACTTATGCTTGATTAAATACTTGTTTGTAATTACATCTGTAATTAACTTTTGTAATTACATTTGTAAATACACTGTTGACCATCCCTTACACCTTAACCTACCCTTAAACCTACCCATACTACCAAACCTGTCCATAACCCAACCTCTATCCCAACTTAAAAGCACCACAAGTGTTCTGAAATACATTATAAACTCAGTAAGTACATTGTATTAATTTTATGATGTCAGTACTTAGTAGTTAAGGACACTTAATATAAAGTGGGACCTATGGTCATTCAAATAGTTTAATAAAACTTATTTGAGTTTTGGAAATCACCAAGCGACCCCTTGTCATTGTTACGCGACCCCCACTTTGAGAACCACTGCCTTAACCCACCCTTAAACCTACCCATGCCACCAAACCTGTTCATAACCCAACCTCTATCCCAACTTAAAAGCACCACAAGTGTTCTCAAATACATTATAAACACAGTAAGTACATTGTATTTATTTTTTGATGTAAGTACATAGTAGTTAGGGACACTTAATATAAAGTGGGACCCAAAAAAATATCACAATATCATGTTTCATATCATTCGATATTGATAATTATTGAGTTTTTTTTCACTATAAATTTAGGAATATTAGGATTTTTGTTATTTAACCACTTTATTTGAACTTACTAACATTACTAAAGCAAATAGTTTTAGTAGTCAAAAGAAAAAAATATTTAGGCTAAATATCTCATCTCTTTATAATAAAATAAACAGTTGAAACCAGAAATTTGCAATCACTCTAAAAATAGGAACATATCCATTCTTTGATTGCAAAGCCATGATGCCAAATAATCATGCATTCTTGAATTTGAATTGTTTGGTAACACTTTACAATAAGGTTCATTAGTTAATGCATTTACTAACATGAACTAATCATGAACAACACATGCACAACATTTATTAATCATAATTGAACATTTACTAATGCATTATTAACATCCAAGTCCATGCTTGTTAACATTAGTTAATGCACCATGAGTTAACACGAACTAACAATGAACTACTGTATTTTCATTAACCAACGTTAACTAGCATAAACAATTACATTAGTAGATGTATTGTTCATTATTTGTTCATGTTAGTAAATGCATTAATTAACATTAACTAATGAACCTTATTGTAAAGTGTGACAAATTGTTGAATGTATTGTTAAATATTTTCATAGCATTTTCCCAAAATGTGTGTCAAAATAAGATTTGTCAACACAAATCATTCCATTTGGTGAAACATGTTGGGCCCTGGGCCAATAGCGGTCCATTTATTTTATCGCCTCACAAAAGTAGCTTTTTGCTATTATTATTATTATTATTATTAATAATATTATGAATTTACTAAAATAAGTAATTATATTGTCTATAATTCTATTTTAGGGTCTGTTCACACATTAGCCCCTTTCACACATACAGACCTTTCCGGACAATTGCTGGCAATTTTCCGGAAAGGTTGTATGTGTGAACAGGCCCTTTTTGAAAATACCGGTAAATTTGTTCTGGCTTTTTTCCGAAAAGAGAAATTGTAACATTACCGGTAATTTGTTGGAATGTTGCGCTGTGTGAACGCAGAAGGAAGATTGCCAGAATAAGCGTCTAGAACGTGCTGACGTGAGACGTCTGCTTTAGCCAATCAGAACAGTCAGAAGCATTCACGTCTGCGCGGTTTATGAAAATAAAAGCTTTTGAATATTTTTCCAGACACATTTAGCTGCTAGAAATTAGTCAGATCACGTTTATATGTTCTTCTTAATGCCAACTGTGTAAATAATTATCGATAAGATGCTTATAAGCCGTTGTTTGTTTACCTTCAAGCTCTGTGTTGCATGTGCCCGTGAATCAGCTGGTGAGCGCCATCACAAACAAACACACACACACACACATCATGAACATCTCGACATGCGAAAGTGGTTCTCTATATGTTTACATCGAAGTTGTTCACAATACTGATCCATCCACAGAGTTTGTAATTTAGTCAAATGTTTACAAATAAAAGCGCAGCCGTTAAGAGCTCATTTTTGGTGAATGATGTCAGAATTTACCGGTATTTTGAAATAGATGTGTGAATGCTTTTTTCCGGAAAAATTCCGTAACGTCCTCGCCTGTGTGAACAGCACTTTTTTTAATTTAACGTTAAAGTCGTTCCATAAATTTTCCCGATTTTTACCAGTATCACTCTGTGAAAGGGGCTACTGTCTCAGTTAGGAGAGGGCAAGATTGTGCAGGCGCATGGCAGCAGCCAAGACAGCCCTTCAGTTATGCGTCCATTCTGCATGATTTCTTCTACCCTGAGCTCTCTTACTGCACGTTATTAATGGATACTGTTTGCATGTTATTTTTTCTTCTGTGATGCGCTTGGTTAGCCTACCTTTGGTTGGACCATTCCTGCGGTTGAGCTAAAATAAGGAACTGTCCTGGGAAATAAAAGACTTCATAACAGGACATCTGTTATCCTTACTGAAGAGTAAATAGGGCTATTTAAAACTCAGATTGAGCTACAGCCACTGTTTCCAAGCCATAGTTTGGAGGTTGGGGTTGCAGGGAAGAGGTCCACACCACCATCAGTGGCACCAGCAGCTCCACTTGGATGATGCGATGGCAGCCACAGGACTGCAGCACCAGTGCGCTCACCACACACCAGCTATAGGTGGAGTGGAGAAACTGTGATACAGCTAATTTGGTGGATGGGAATGATTGGAAGGCCATGATGGGTAAGGGCTGATGGAGGAAATTTGGCCAGGACACCAGGGTTACACCCCTACTCATTACAAGAAGTGCCATAGGATTGTTAATGACCACAGAGAGTCAGAACCTCGGTTTATCATCTCATCTGGTGCTCACTGACAGTATAGTATCCCCTTTATTTTACTGGGGCATTAGGACTCACACAGACCACAGATTGAGAGCCCCCTGCTGGCCTCTCTGACAACACATCTAAAAGTAAATCTAGCTTTCCCATGTGGTTCCCATAGACTGTAAAATATATGGACGTAGTGTCCGTGACGTCACCCATAGGTTTCTAAAGAGCGCAAAAGAAGCCACAAGTAGGCGCGGCCAACCGTCGCCATTTTGTTCATCACACCCACGGCGGGATACCAAACAAGGGCAAAGAGGCGGAGAGTGAGCGGAGCTACAGACACGTGCTGGCATTTTGCTTGGACCTGGTTCAGACACACTTTACTTTGGGAGAACGCTTAATACTTCATCACCTGTGACTCGTTTGTATTCTGACCACTTGTGCTTAGTTGTACACTATATCAATAAAGTGTTTAGCTTTTTAAAAACACTGCTGTAATACATTGAGCCGCTAAACATTGTTCTCATGAAGTTTTTCAACAGGAGGAAAACGCGAATTACTTCCAAACACTTCAGATATTGTAACGAGGAGACTGACACGGAGGGATCCATTATGCAGTATTTATTAATCAAGCTCTCACTCAAACACACAATTTGCACCAACGTGCAAATACACATCAACAACTGTAATAAAGGTTTCAAGGCTGGTGGTAAATAGACACAGAGGGGTTTACCAGCCATGGGACAAAGGCAGGCTGCGAGAATCAGAGTCCGTGTATCAGGCTTGGGTCGTGGGCAGGCAGAAGGCGAAGCAGAGTCAGAAACAGGCTGGAGTTGTACACGAGAGATCAGGCAGAGAATAACGCTCAGTAATGCTGGCCGGGGCTAAACAAGACTTCGCACTGACTGAGTGTTTGTGTGCGGCTTATAAAGGGTGCGTGGGTCGTTAGCTAGATTCAGGACAGGTGTGTGCACAATCAGCGTAAGTGGATGATGTAATGCTAGAAGTCCGGAGATAGCGGCCTCTGCTGGCCAGCGAGGGGAGTGACTGGGACCGAGTCGGTGACAGATATAGTCTGTGTTAGGTAATGTAAGAATATTGATGAAATCCAGCATAACACTGTATGACAACGCTTTAGATGACGGTTCTAGAGCCTACAGCTAATCAATCCGTCAGATTCTGGAGTGCATTACAGCTCTAAATATAAACATAAACGATAAATGATCTTAAATAAAACAAATACATGTATAGAGATGGTATATAAGTATATAACTTTACTCACATGGGAAACGGAGGCCACGTGAATGGTTTGTGAGCACAATTAAGTACACTCAGCATGCCATGCCATCTAATAATTGTAGGAAACAAGTCCAAAAGGCAGTCGACTGTGTAAAGCCACATAAAACAACACAGAAATACGATAAATATGCCGAGTTCAGTGGCTAATCTGCAGGATTCGGCTGAGGTGACGTGACGGCGACCAACGAGACCTAGCTGTCACTCAAGTGGCCACGCCCTTAATTATGCAAACTTAATATAACTTAATATAAAGGAAACGGTTGAGTTATAAAAAAATTCACCCCCCTCACAGTTGTCATGAAGGGTAATATTAGCGGTATTAACCAAAATCTTTTTTTGTACCAGGCTGTAAACACCTTTTTTTTTGCTGTAAAGTTGGCCATTCTAACAGTGGGCTCAATTGAAGTTAGCTCTGTTTTGGAGCCAGGAGCGGCCAGGAGCGGCCAGGACTAGCGGAATTTCGGATGAGTTGCAGTTTTAGCTACTTCCGTATTGGCTTCCTGAGGGAGAGCGGGAGGTCACCGCTTGGTGGTCCCCCATCCAGTTACTGACCAGGCTGCTTAGCTTCAGTGGGTAACTGGTTTTGGGCTGCAGGTGAAATGGCTGTAAAGACTAACATACTGATACTAACATTATTTTGATATCACAGGGACTTTCAAATCAAATATAACCGCTAATAAACATGTATGATTTTTGTTAATGATCATGTTTAAGCAGAACTCATGAATTCTTCCTAAAATGTTTGTGTTTTTAGGGTCTGGATCTGGTCCTCAGGAGGGTCCGAGTCAGCCCAGCACGTCTACAGGACCGCATGGTTTCCGCAAGCATTTCCTAAGAGGAAAACTAGACTGTGACAATCAGCCTCCGGATCCGGACCGACTGTTTCAGCGCTGCTTCATGGCCACAGTGACCACCGTTAACGTGGAGGGCCCGTCATGAAGACCTGCAGACGGCTGATAAATCAACAGCTTTATACGCGGTGTGACTTGGATAACATTTTGGATGCTGTAGCACAAACTGAATGAAATCGAATTGCCTCAATGGCATGGTTTACACCTGGTTTCTTTATGCATTGTTTCTGATCGGATTCTGATTTGTGAAAACGTTCTGTTTTACACTTAAAGTTGTAGTCGGAAATATTAACCCCCCTTTAGTTTTTTTTTTATATTTCCTAAATGATGTTTAACAGAGCAAGGAAATTTTCACAGTATGTCTGATAATGTTTTTTCTTCTGGAGAAAGTCTTTTTTGTTTTATTTCAGCTACAATAAAAGCAGTTTTTAATTTTTTAAACACCATTTTAAGGACAAAGTTATTAGCCTCTTTAAGTTAAATTTTTTTTGATAGTCTACAGAAAAAACCATCATTGTACAACAACTTGCCTAATTACCCTAACCTGCCTAGTTAACCGAATTAAGCCTTTAAATGTCACTTTAAGCTGTATAGAAGTGTCTTGAAAAATATCTAGTCAAATATTATTTACTGTCATCATGATAAAGATAAACTAAATCAGTTATTAGAAATGAGTTATTAAAACGATTGTGTTTAGAAACGTGTTAAACAAATCTTCTCTCCGTTAAACAGAAATTGTGGAAAAATAAACAAGTATTTATGGGGCTAATAATTCTGACTTAAGCTGTATGTGGTTTTAACAACCCAATGCTTTTAGACCTTTCCAATTTCATCAGGAAATCATCTCCTGGTGTGGTTTGAGCAATCAGATTCATCTCAAATTTGGTTTGGAGTGCACTTACAAGTGTTCATTTTAAGATCCCATAGCTATCAGAAGAAACGCATCATGTGACTAGGTGTAAACGGCTCTAATGTTATGGTTGCATTGATCTGAATGGTGTTTTTAAAGGAAATAAATGCATCGGTGAAGAGTTTGAGAGACTGTAGATCAGTGGTCACCAAACTTGTTCCTGGAGGGCCGGTGTCCTGCAGATTTTAGCTCCAACCTTAATCAAACACACCTGAAAAAGCCATTCAAGGTCTTACTAGGTATACTTCAAACATTCAGGCAGGTGTGTTGAGGTAAGTTGGAGCTAAACCCTGCAGGGACACCAGCCCTCCAGGACCAGGATTGGTGACTCCTGCTGTAGATCAATGATAGCCTCAAAGACCTCTAGTTTTGTTGGTGAAGCAGTGGTTTTGGTCGTTTGCGCAGCTGAACCAAAGAGTTTATTGTATTGAATCCTGAGATTACAGTGCGTTGTCCTGCCATTCATGTTTATCTGTCAAACAGAGTTTACAAAGCCTTTACACCAGCACATCTGGCCCTTCATTTATCAGTATGAGACTTTTTTTATTTAAAGGTCATTTTAAAAATAGGGTTTGTTAAACTGTGTTTGTATTTCCGGGATATTTTAAACGTAACAAGTTTAAGTACATCTTTTTGTCAAAAATTGAGGCCTTTTTCATTTTGAAGACATAAAAGCCATATTTTTTACCTATGTTATTGCCAGTACTCACAATTTCATTTAAAGACTCACAAAGTATAAGTTGGAGTCCTGTTCCTTGTTTCAAAACAACCAGCAAAACTATAAATCTGAAGAGAAGTCAAGCTAAAATTAGCATGGCATAAAACAGAACAATAATAGTAAACACTCCCCAATATAATGCTTTTAACTGCAGTTAAAATATTGAACATTTCTAGCCGTATTAAACAATTATGCAACACTGACGTCATATTAATATTAGAGTTAATATTTGTATACTGTTTACTTAATAATATTTCTTGGTCATTAATGGTGCATGTAATGGTTTCACACATTCAGTTCAATCCTGTTGCTGCTGTTTTTATTTTTCTCTCATGAAATTGTGATGTCTAATAAGGGGAATATTTGTTTACAGCTAATTAGATTACTGATTAAAACTTCAATTGATCATTGTTGTAATATATATATTAAATATATATACTGATTAAAACTTCAATTGATATATATATATATATATATATATATATATATATATATTTTTTTTTTTTTTTTTTTTTTTCTGAAAATGCTTAGTTCATAAACAGCCTTTTGATATGATACAATCAAACTTGTGACAACTTTAACATGCACAGAATCTGTTAAATTTATATTTAATTTAAATGCACAGCTGTTATTAATTATACTTTCAGTGCTGTGTAACCCGGCATTTAATGCTTTAACACATTATTATGCATGATTGTGCTGAATTTTCCCTTTGCTTTTACTAAAAAAAAACTGGTTTCATAATATTTTAACATCAAACAAATATTTATTTATTTGTTTGTTTAATTAGTTATGTATTTATGTATTTATTTTTTTATTTTAGAGCATGAGTGGCAATTTGGTAAATAATCCTGTTTCATTTCCTTTGGCTTTTTGTGAAGTGGAGTTCAGGCTTGTTACCAAAGTTATGAAAAAACAAACCATTTTTTATTCATTATTAATGTGTCAGTAATTATAAACCAGGTCCAAACCAGCCAGTTCATATACTAAATTGTTTACATATTTATTCATTAATTTATTTATTGTTTGTTTGTTTATGTATTGTTGCATATTTACTTTTATTATTATTATTATTATTAATATATATTAAAAAATCATCAGGGTTTTGATATGTGCTTTCCTGGCGCGGTTGCAAAAAAAAAAAATTTTAAAAAAAGGTGAAAAAAGTAAATTTTCAGAAAGATTATGCATCTTTTTGGCTTCGTTTTTAAGATTTACAGGCCTTATCTGTGGTTCTGTGTTAGTCCAAAGTGCCAGAATCAATCATTTGCAAGATTCAAGATTTATATGTGTTACATACAGAGTTCTGTCAGTTTCGTATATGTGCAGTACATATCCATTGTTGACATTGATTTTATGTTGCAAGGAACAATGAGTGAGCGCACCACAGGCTCATTGGAAATACATGCCTCAGCCCACGTTTTGTCCAAAACATAAAATACATTGCTTGTTGTATGTTCCAGATCCACAAGAGGGAGCTGTCTATATTTTAACCATGAATCTGAAATATGTTACTTAGGGCAGTGATCCACAGCCTTTTTCAAGACACTTCATGATTTATACTTCATGATTTATAGATAACTTGTTTGGCATGCTATCCCGGGAGAGAGCCCTGAGCTCAAATGATCCTCGAGCTCAGGCTCCCCCCACTTTTTTGCAGGGCGAGGGGAGATTAAGCTCAGGTCGATCTCAAACTCCCCCGCTGCTGAGGCCAAGGCGAACTTACTGAGAGTAAGACATTAGAAAAAAGGTTTATGTTTATTTTATCTATAATATAGAGCACATTTGGATGGTGGGAGGAATCCAGGGAACCCGGGGGAAACCCATGCGGATATAGGGAGAACATGCAAACTCCACACAGAAATACCAGATGGCTCAGCGAGGAGCCAACGCCATTGGTATTCTTGCTGTGAGGCAACTAGCTAGTCACTGGGCCACCGTGCTGCCCATTCTGGATAAAGGAGGAAGAAGGGGAGGAGGGGGGTTTCTTCCAGAGGATATATATATATATATATATATATATATATATATATATATATAGTGACTTGGGATCCTTTGATTGGAGGATCATGATTAGCTAATGTGGACTAACTGGGTTAATCATGAGCACATGCTCCTCTTGAAATTAGTTTAAAATTAAACTTCACTTA